GCAGAGACTAGCATACCTGCGACAGAGGACAGCCATAGTTGGTGTGGGTGAATGAAGAGTAGAACCGAGAGGGCGACGTACAGCAACGTCTTCTTCCAGCAGTCGAGCCACAGCACCACGTCCCAACACCGGTACACAGGGCTGTATTCGTTCCTGCGACAGCGACACCACGCTACAATAGGCTGTCAGTCATCACATTATGCACAGCAATATAACACGTGTTTGACTTTAAACGGCTGATCCACAACCGGCAATCCATATTTTTATGCGTTCTTAAAACTGCCAGGGTTGGAGAAACGAAGACACGGACACGGCGATATAGTCGCCAAGCACAACTTCGGTTTTGTTTCCGGAGATGAAGAGAGTCGAATGTTGAGAAATATATAACGTATCCCAAAACACTGTAGTTTTCATCTTCAGGGTGAACAAATAGTGATCGGGTATTTTTGGAGGACTTGCATAGGACAGGCAGTAAATGAGTTGAATTTGAACATTCAAGGCAGCTCATCACTGAAAGATACCTAAGGAAAATAATATACTCGAATGTTGCAATGATAATTCGCCCCAGTGGCGTCACAGACTTCAGTACTAAATTCACTGTTTGGGTAAATAAACACCAACAAAGGATAGTGAAACATAAAAATTCTGTTCACTTTCCGCCATATCAACGTTCAATTGTAATTTATCTTCGCAGATATTGTCACTGAGCGAGTTTGTTACACACAAAATAAAAAACGGTTTTGATACACACTCAGAGTATTTCCGGTAGACTCGTGGGCTTCTTGTTGGGTATTTGGACACATGTAGGCACTACTCAGAAAATATGGACAAACGTTTGTGTGCATAAATAAATCACATTTGAGGTGGTCTTGGCCGATTTCGCGGTGTTCCACTTTGCTGTCTCCGTGCGGCTTTATTACAATATGTATGATATAATGGAGCATGAATTTTGTTAACTTACACGTGGCACGACGTCCATTCAAAATTTCAGCAATTTCCGACCATCCTTTCAAAATTCGTGAAATTGGTACGCAGGACGCCGACTTCTGATGACTCAGTCCTGGTTGGGTTGTGTTAGGTTAGGTTATGTTAGGTTAGTGGGTACATGCGCAGAAGGTTCTGCGCACTGGCGTAACGCAACGTGTCCCGGAGTGCGCACCGTGATATGGCGATTATTATTTGCGTAAAATTGAAATATTATTTTATCTGAATGCTTAAATTTTAAAATTAAGAATTTTGCCGTAGTAACACTGTGGGCTATCTACTCGTTCTTCAATAATCCTCAAGTGAAGCAAATGCTAACCTGGAAACAAGCATCGAGCTATAAACCATTAAGTGAGGAACGAATGGGGTATGTAATATTTACTGTCCAGTTGCCATTCAGTTTGTGTGTGTTTCCTATGGACTGCAAATATTTACCGCCGTGATGTAGCCGTTGCCACGGAGGCACAGTAACACTGCGATTCAAATAATTTAGTTGCACAACACTAACTGACCAGTAAACATAACGAGTCGTGCATTGATTAATGGGATAAACAGTGTCTAGTATCGTTTGTTGTGGGTTATAGTCTATGATAACGAGGGGCGGCGCGTCCTGGTTAACCGTGTTCGGGTTACCAACACTTTGAAAAACGAAAAATAAAGCTATCTGTCTTACTTTTGCGCTTCAGTGGCACTGCATACAGCAGAACACAGCAGAGCCGATCAGATAAATTGCATTGTTAGCCAGCTTCAGCCGGCTAGGCGTTGTTAGCCAGAGAGTTGACGTCTGGCTGACTGGAGATGGATAACGATGCATTTTATTTATGTGATCGGTTCTGTGTGTACCTTATGAAGAACCACTGAACCAAGAAAGTAAGACAGATAACTTTATTTTTCGTTTTTTTCAATGTGTTAGCCGGACTAACACGGCTAACACGAACGCTCCGCTTCTGGACATGCCATTTAATTTTAAGACATAATAACTCGAACAGATTTCATTGTGTGGGGCCTAGAACTACAGAAAACGAGGCGTATTCTCAGAATAAATAATATTTTGTGTATTTCTGCAAAATTATGCTTGTGAAAATTTTAAAAATTATTGTGAATGTTGACAGAAATATTTAAAGTATAGAGTAAAACAACCATTTCTCAAATCGAATTATCTAAAGTATAATAAAATGACAACATTTGCTCATACTTCATAATTTTGTTCATTCTTTTAGTAAAATCGTAAAGCTCAATTTTTCCTTCAGGGTTACATAATTCGCAGTACAATGGCCAATACTGCCTTCTTAGTTGAAATGTCTTCGGATTTAATAATTTCCAGAAGACGATCTATTCCGTCATGTTGTAATTTTCACAAGTAACGGAGCAGTCAACAATTTGCCGGTGCAAGGGTAAAGAAGTACGTATACGTCCAAAATTACTACAGAAATTTCAAAGGCGGCTTAAGGCTCATAAATTGTATAATAATATTTGTACACAATTTATAAAAATCAATAAACCTTATTTGTAAGGGATCTCCGAATTATTTCTTTCGTTTTCTGAACTCTTGCCACTTACGCGCACTTACCCAGGATCAGTGACCTTTTCTGAGCCCTTTCTATCCCACCGAACGCATCGCTTGATTTCTCATAAACTCTGCAGCTTGCAGACCTGAATTAAGGAAAACAGCGGATGTCAGAGAAATAACTTCACGTTTGTTTCTCTGTGAGATATTTAACGACACTATTACATGTGCTATAGTTGAGCAAGAAGATATAATGTTTATGACCGGAGAGTTAGAATGGAGAGGAAAGGTAACGTTCATGGCACATTTCAAAGTACTGTCCTAGCATTTTCAAATTTTAAATGAAAGCCGCAATAAATTTCAATAATTTCTGGTGCCAAAGCTGAGAATCGCTGTCACTACGTCCCACCGCGGTAAATTACAACTGTACTTAGAAGCAACGTGTGGAAGATTTTATTGATCCAAACATAGCAATATGACGATCCTTCGAGCACATAATTGTTTATTTTTCATTCCAGAATACAACAAAACTAGACTGCGTGTTTTGTTACATTTTATTCTAACTGAAAAAGGCTAACAAGTTTCAAAATTGCTCTGAACAGTCCCAGTGATATTTTCCGTCCAGCTACAGGGTTCAGTGATGCCGCAAATCAGAATATAAAACTGATTATGCATTCCAAATATAACAAATATGCATCCTGTTTACCGATTGGTTTGTCATCACTTTTGTACACACTGATATTCATCTCGCTCCGAAGTTCCAGCGCTCACAAACTGATCAGAAGATATTAAGAGGGACTCAGCTGAATAGAGGTGTACAGCTATTATCCGTTTTCAAGGGAACTCCAGCTGTGCTTTTCAAGTTAAAGAAATACACATTCGCTTGCTGACCACGACATTAATTTTATGTGGCCGTCGACAAAGATATGAATAGCCATTAAGGCCAGCGGTAATTTAAATTTTGCCGATCCCTGGTCAACGTGGTACTTCTATACAGACGGAAGCAATTTCCTGCATACTGAACATCAGCTTTAATGAAATGTGGACAACTTGCAGACCGAAATCCACTTTTGTTGAAATGAAGAATGTGAAGGCGAGAATTAATTTTTTGAAATCTAATGTAATCAAAAGTTGTCAAAAGAGAAGCAACAAAGTCCATATTAGTATTGTACGACCTGGGGTTCATTACATTCGACCAGTCCTCGGCGTTGTTCAACTTTTGCTACGGTTTCATCTATTTCCGCAACAGTGACAGGCTACGGTGAGGGGTTAAGGGAAGGGGAGGGAGGAATGCAAAATTAACTCCTCCCTTTAACCAAGCTATGGTATGTTTCTAAATAAAGTTCCCTGAAGCATTTCTGCAACCCTCTACGGCCGCCCCTTAGTTGGAGATGTACATGTGCAAGGGTCGAATTACAATTTATATGTACAAACGCCATTATATTTACTTTTTTTTTAAACCTACACGCACTGTCCACTGCTAGCCATTTTTCATTACAGAAATGTTCACTTGATACCAGAAGCAAGCAGTGATACATGTGTCCGCGGCTCAGTGTTAGAGTGACATAACGCACAGTTGTACTTCTGTCGTAGATTCCGGTACATCGGCTTTAAATGTTGAATAAAACGGATGTACTTCTATATAACTCCTGGCAAGACGTGGATGATAAATGGAAAGGAACGATATATTCATGACGAAATGTAAACTCTTTGAGAAAAGTAGTTGAGCGAATTCTGTTTAAAACGTTTTATTTTTATTTGTTTTCCTACAATATTTTAAACTTTTAACTTATTTTCGAAATGGAGATAATATGAAGACAGCCTTCCACAGCACTTCACGGTCTAAAACTTAGTATTCCATTAGGAATGATAAACTCGTAGAGATTCACACGTTTTTCGATATCTTGTAAAGCTTAAATTCTTACTTGTATGTTCATCGTTTATTTAATGTGAAATGTGTGTGAAAACAACAAATATATTTAAGTAGTTGTTTCGAAACATTACCAAAATGGACAACATGAGATATTTATGAGTGGGTGGAGAACGATGTTAAAATACGTTCATATAAGCTGTAAACTTAACTAACTTTTTTGATTACGGTAATAAATCTTCTGGTTACACACTGTTCCACAAGATTTCTCGTCTGACAAAATATTTATCCACTGCTGAAGAAAGTTTCTATGCCATGCCATTAGTTTACTTCATCGCTGTGACGACATTTCACTGCGACCTGCATAATTTTATTTACTAGCTTATTCCTTAACCTCTTCATCTCGAATTTAAACCTTTAAAAACTAGTGGTAACTATAAGCACCTTCCGCTTTAACAATAACTTTGCAGTTTAGCGCAGGAAGTATATTTCTGGGTTTTGTATAATTATCAGAGTAAAGAGCGATTACTTCCTTAAACAGCATTTACCATCTGATCTTTGTAATGGTTATGGGTTCTGTTTTCTTTGAGGTACGAAGTGAATGTTTAAACATGCTTTAGATTCAAAGAATTAATTTCGTTACTGGGAGGAACGCGTACGTATTTTTCTCGCCATCTTATCATTACTCTAAAAAATTCCGGGAATTTATCTGAAACTTGGCAAGAACACGGTGCCTCATGAGGCCTTTACAACATTATACTTTTAAGTCTATACCTTTAAAAACATCAACATGCAACACACAGCAATTCTGGACTCGTAGAGACCACACTGAAAAATCTTTTCAGATATTACTTGTGTCAAGATTAACCTACGATTAACTAACGAGTTTTTCTTGACAAGCTAATAGTAGCATAGCTTTTTTTATAATTTCCTAGTCTTTCACAGAACCCCAAAGTTCATTTATATGTTCAGAAAATCCCGCCTCTAGTCCTTATCCTGGGCCAGTTTTAATCCTGTATGCGTCGGCATACTCTGTTTCTTTAATATTTTATTTTAATAACAGCCCTATTCTGCCATCTGCACCTAGATTTCACAACTCGCTTCTTGCATTCGGTTTTCCGACTAAAACGTTTGGTGCATTTGTCATTTTGCCCGTGCTTCCTACAGTTAAAAATGCCTCATTTCATTGATACTCTTGAAAAAATCGTCAGTGAAAGTATGCAGCAGAATATTGACAGATAAACATTTTCCAATAAAGCTACAGCAAACTTGTCCGGATTCAACTCTAAACATGGGCACTGGCTGTTCTCACTCTGCATCGTCGTGGTATTCCTCATGCCCAACTAATAATAAGCTCAATCAGTTCATGATCGTTTCCTTCACAACTCTTTTCACATAAAAATTATTAACTACTCTTTCATCTCAGTTTAGGCTGTTTCTCCGTAGTAAGTAACTAACAAACCAAAATGAAAACCTTAGGACTCTTTTAACTAATTATAAACTAACCATAACTTGAATCCTATGAAGTCGAAGCTCCATTTCTATTGAATTTTTCACCACTGAAAAGACCGTCTTGTTAATGCCGTTTGAGGAAATGATCGCTGTTCACAATAAAAATCATACGAATCACAAACACAAAATAAATATTTACCGACTGTTAAAGCAGGCAGGAAAAAAGTTGTCATTGGGGTTTGCAATGTTAACGAATGAAGACCTGTTTTAAGGAGCCCCTGCTCTGGCTTCCAGATGGCAATTTCCCAGTTCAAAAATCGAGTGCTCTGTCTGTAGTGGGTTGACTTTTGTGATCTGATATTGCGGCTGTAGACAATCTCCATTACCAGTGAGACGTGTAAACACGTCTTAATGGTTTAGGGTAAGGAGGGAGAGGAGGGGCGTAGAGACGGACATTGGTGTGGTAACCTGTCAACAAGAAAATGGCCGACATTTGATGGCGATATTTATGATGTTCTGTGCAGTCTGGAAGGACACGGCTACATTACCATCTGACAATTTTCCTTCATCTCCTGACAAGTCAAGGTATCAGTGGAGACACGTCTCAAGCATGAAAACTTCTAAATACTATCCTGAGTTCTATTCCGGCTTCTTGCAAAATAAAAATTTTGCGCTTTCACTTTGATTCAATTTTGAAAAAAATATTCCAAAAATTATATATTTTTAAAGCCACTGTAATACGTTACACAACCGCCATGTTAATGTTTAAACAAAGAAGAACTTTTTTATTTTATTAAAGACGCCGTGTTAACTGTATAGCTTATTTCTTGCATAAAGTCAAACGTAATGGTAAATACGGAGGAAGAACTTTGTTAAGGGAATCGGTTGTGGTCTGTTTTAAAATCAGTACGAGCAT